CCCCAAAACCCCAAAACCCCAAAACCCCAAAACCCCATGACTATAAATTTCTATTGAGAATATTATAAATATGATACAGATATCTAGAACTTTGCCAAAAATATTGGTGATCCTTGTGTTAACCTCACTGCTAGTTTCTTGTAAGCCAGTCATGAAGCATATATCGAATGATGACTTGAAAGGAGATACTGTGAAGAGTACATACTCAATTCATGCTTTATCTAGAAGTAAACAAGGGTATGGCTTCCATAATATATTTATCTGGGTAGCTTCTTACATTCAGTCCGCGTTGCAGATGATCCCAAGGATAGAGAATCTTAGTCTGGGGAACTTGGAGTACTATCCATTCATGTCTTTAAAAATATGATGCATTTTGTTCTTTGTTATGGCTGCAGTGGTGATTATTACAGAAAGGATTGTAATATATCATTTCTTAAAACTCAAAGACAGATCCTTGTTTTACAAAAGCTTCAAGAGAAATACTCTGTTTACATATTTTCTCCTGGTGTTCCTGGCAGATGAAGGAGGATTCATGTGAGTTCCAGATCTCTTTATATTCTTCAGTCATTTTGGTTTTTATTCAACGATATCAGCATTTAGAGAAGTTTTTGATCTTTATACAAAGAAGCTCCTTACAATTCAGGCAAACGCAAATAATATTCCTGAGCATTCAAGGAAGATTCAGAAGATTCTGGAGTATTACAGGACTCTGAAATATGTTCTGATTAGTGCTTTGGGACTATCCTTTATCATATTTAGTGAAGTAGGGAAATTAAGGTTATACAACCTATACTCTCCAGGTATTATTGCTCTGCTTGAGATTTCTTTATCACATCAAAAGCTGTACTACAAGCATAAGACTTCCACTAGCATTAATGAAGGGATTATAACTTTCTTCACAAATTACTGATTTGCTCTGAACAGTTTATTGATGGTGATTAAAGTGATAAACTGAGTAAAGGATACGCTACTGTGTCTTTACCAAGATGCTGTACCTTCCCCATTCTCTCTGGTACATATGTACTACATCATGAGAAATCTAAAATTCTTCTTTTCCTGGATCAATGAGTGTGAAAAATTTGTAGTTTTTCATAAGAATAAGATTTTGATAACTAACAAATTTAAGCTCAAAATTTACGATGAAAAATCAGGTGAAAATATGAAGGAAGAGTGCGGGATTTGCTTAAATTACCTGGACAAAGCTCGGATTCTTCCCTGAAACCACCAATTCCACCTCATATGTCTCTTACAACTCATAAAGAACGGGTATAAGAAATGTCCGGTCTGCAGGCACCTATTTGCTGAGGAACAGAGAGCTGAAGAAGAAAATGACAACGATGAAGGGGCTCTCCAGAATTTAAACCAAATGAACTTCTACGGTCTAGAGAATGATTAATCTATTTTATCAATTTCATTTCTGTATGGAGGGGTTTTGGGGTTTTGGGGTTTTGGGGTTTTGGGGTTTTGGGGTTTTGGGG